CTACTACTACTACTACTACTACTATACCAGCCTCGACCCCAAACAGCAACAAATGGGAGACAAATGGGAGACAAGTGGGAGACAAATGAGTAGCGGTTTTTAGAGTAGTGCTGTGAGAAATCCAAATGAGCGTTATAGAATCCTTTTCTATTAAGCAAATCAAGAACCCCTCAGCTAAAGCTGTTTGGGGAACTACTACTACTACTACTACTACTACTACTGCTGCGTGTAGTGCTGCTACTGCCTCTTGTCGTCTGCATGCACAGGACCCTACACGGATGCAGCTGTGCACAGAGAAGGGCTTGCTTCGTGGAGCGAAGCTGGCATGTTAAAGCTCGCAGGGCTTGGATTTTAAGTTCTGGGTTCGAATCCAGCTTAGGGCTTTTTGCTTTTGGGTTTGCTACTCCCGGCTCGACACTGCAGAATTTGTTGGCCACAGCTGTGGCGAAGGAAAACGATGAGAGGGACGGAAAGCCGCTGCGAGAAAAAAACGCGGGAAAAAGGGAGAGGCAGGGAGCAACGGTGGAAAGGATGCAACCGGCTAGTTCATGTGCAGATGAGAAGCCGCAATGTTGCCAGGAACATATGGGCGCGATATTTGGTCCAGGTGGCAAGTATCCAGTTCCGGACAGGCCGGAATCAGCTTGAGCGACAGCTTGCAACGTAGACAGTTTCTTCGATCGGTTTTGTTTATAGATTACCTTAATATGTTTTTCATGCACTCGTGCAAGCATGCGGCCGGGCCGCCAAACATGCGGCGGTCCTATGTGCAAGCACGTATGTAGGTCAAGCGTATATGTACACAGATATGTACATATCCACACATACATATTTACATACATACATGCATACACACACACACAGATACAGATGGCTGCATGCATGCATGTAACTTAACTTCACCCCCCTCAAGCCTACGTGGGCTTCTATGGCAACTTCCTGGAGGCTCTTTGCGCGGCATCTGGAACCCGGAGTCTATAGCAGCAGAGATTTGCCGGAGCCTCGGATCGCCTGCCGAGATGTTTTAACTAGGTTGCTTCAACTCGGTTCTACAGGTAGTTCGAGGGCTCTCATAAGACTTTTTGGATATCTATATCTTGTTGGCTTCTTAGCCCGAATCTTCTGGGCTTTTATAAGGTTTTTCTGGGTTAAGGCTTTCGGGTGTAATGTTCAGCATCATTCAGAGATCAGAGCTTGTCTAAGTGTCTGTTCTCCAAGAAGCTGCTGCAGTTTGAGGTGTAGGCCATGGACTTCATGTGGCATTTTAGTCAACAAACAGGGCAAAGACCCTGAAACGTAAACCCTTATGTGCTAAACTTGAGGTTGTGTACCAAGCTTAGGCTTCTCGGGAAGTCTCTTCTCACGGAGAGACGTTCATACTTGTAGACATCATCCGAGACTTAAAGCCTGAAGCCTAAGCCCGAAGCTGCAACCCCCAAGCCTGAAACCTAAATCCCCAAATCATAAACCCTAAATCCTTACACCTTTGAAGCCTGTGGAATCGAATGTGTTGGTAAGCCCTCAAGCAAGCAAGTCGCTGAAGCACCAAACCCCTAAAGCCCCAAACGCTGAAGCGCAACATCAAAATCAATCGCACACCCAGCTGCCCTGCACGCGAATAAGCCCTGCATCGCACCCTGAACCCCTGGAGCCTTTCGGGTATTATGGACTCAGGTCCCCATAACCATAATAAGCATCTTATAGTTTTTGGACAGTCCATGTATGGACCCTCTGGGTAGATGATGAATCCTAAACTCTTTAGGCAGACCCTTTGGGTAAGCCCAAGCAAGGTACCTCCTCTGGCCGCTGGCCCAGCGGCTGCAGCTCGTGGTGAACACCACTTTCAAGCAGGAACGGCTTCGACCTCCTAGGGTGGCCGAGGCTGTTTTTCTTTTATTTTGTTTTCGGAGTGGTGGTGTAGGCAGAGCAATTCTGTCCATACAGTATCATGCTGCAGGAGGACCCGCTGGAGCTCGTCCGCGCTCTTCACGAGGGGCGCGAGGCGGAGCTGTGGCAACTCCAAAGAACTGCGAGCTTCGTGAAAACGAGGATCGCTTATGTATAGGCTTTCATGAATCAGCATGTTTTTCTCGATGATTTTACAAGTGTTTCTGTCGCCTGAATCGTAAGGGAGGGCGTAGGCTCCAGGCATCTAGGGTGGTTACAGAGCTTTGAATTTTCGGGAGGGCCATCAGGTGTGAAGCAAACAGCTTCTACAGGCAGTAGACGGCTCACCCGGCAACGAGTCGCAGAAACCTTAACCCTACCACGAAGCCCGATTTGTCCGATTATGACTGAAGCTACTGAATTAGGATTCTTCTTTTGAACTTGTCGTTGAAACTCCAATTTGAATGGGGCTGGGATCCGCTTGAAGATCCCGCATGCCTTCCCTCATCGTCGTCATCTCTGTTACCGTCGAAAGCGGCATCCCCATCCTTTACCACCACCATCATCCTCCTGAGCTTCTTGCTCGCATGCTTAAGGGTCTTGCAGTTTGTTTCATTGGCGGCTTTCTTTACCAGGGCTCTGCATGTAGAAGATGCAGAGCACGAGGGATGTAGGCATGTTTTTGGACTCATACCTCACACTTTGCATACCAAGGATGCCAACGATCTCAGGCTCTAGCATGAAGGTTTACAGATGTCGGATCTAGTAGTTCGGGTTGCTGGCTTGAGGTTGTAGGTTACAGGGTGCTACGCCGTTTTATTGGCCTTTTGGAGTTTTCAGATGCGTCCTCACCAGGCCGGCTGCCCATCGGGTAGGACAGAACAGACTGTGCGCTTCCCAGCATGCGATTGGTGGGGCAACTCCTCCGACTCTGCAGACCCTGCGACTTTTGGACCCGACAGACGTAAGCGGTAGACTGGTGCTCAGTTGAAGCTTCTCTTGTCATAGCCAGTGCTGAGGACGTCGGGTCGTGATGCCACGGTAGGGCGTCTGCAAAGAGGTAGAAACAGTTCTTGTAGCAAGAACGAAGCAACATAATTAGCAATACGTGAGCAGCAACAAGCAGCAGCATGCATCGCGACCCTGTCTCCTAAGCTTCCCTGAAGCCCTCATACATCCAATGCCCTCATCCCCACACTGGGAGCTTTGGAAGTCCCTTTAAGTGTTTTTGTTGTGATTTGATTGAGGATGTTGTCGAACTCCAAGCTTGATTTTGGGCCTGAGGTCCTTGTGTCATGGGATCACTGCACGATCCCAACACTCGCACAGGCGAGGGGGGAAGGGGGCGGTGGGCGGTGGGTGGGTGGGGGGTTTGGGGTTCGGCAGGCAGCGCAAAATCAATGCTCACGCTCTAGGATTTAGCATGCAGACTTCGACTCTCAGCATAAAATGCACTTCACTTGCTTCTTGCAGATGACAGCATACTCGCTCTACACCGCCATGTTTAACGGAGGCATGCATAAGGATACTACAGTTCCGAGTCAACCCGAAACACTGTACCTTGAAGCATTCAGGATTCTGTCATTGTAAGGCTTTGTGAGTCTTTTTCGGGCGTAGAGAGTCTGGCAACCCTGTATGAGGGAACATTTCCTTGAAGAGTAGGGAGAGATTCTGTGACTGTCATTGGGCTCTTGGAAGGTTTTTTTTAGTTCGGGTCGGGTTTTGCGGTTTCGGGTTAGGGTTGCAGGTTTGAGGCTTGAAGGTTTCAGGGTCTGGGGTTGTTCATACTCGTAGCATGATGGTTCAGTAAGCAGGAGGTCATGATTGCCACAAAAATGGAAGAAGTCATGCTATAAAGCCTCGGTGGAACCCTATTTCAACACACTTCCATACGACTCTTGCAGTCGGGAACAAGCGAAGCAATGTCTCAGCGGCAACATTGGTATCAGCCAGACTGGCCACATTCTGGAGCACATACTCTGGAAATTGACATGTAGGTTTGGAGCTATGCAGCCATAGCCGCATGAGGCTATGTAGTGATAAGAAACCGTTTATAGGAAAGCCCCAAGAAGCCCCCAGACAAAGCTACAAGTTCCACAGAGGAAACAGGGAAGAAGCCATCAGCGTAGGGGCCCTCCGACTCGAGATTATCAGTCCTGGTCCGGTTTAGGGTTCAACATTTAGAGTTATCTGGAGGGCAGAAATCCTTTCTCCAGAATCCCTGAACACGCTCCGGATCCTCAAGCCTCAAGCCCGATGTGCAAGAAGCCCCAGAACCCAAGAACGCGCCGAGCTTTTGGTGAGGCGTTGGGCTGTGATGATCAGATCTGTCGTTCTTGTGCCTTGCCGACAAGTCATGGCAATCTCTGATGTCAAGAAGACCAGGCCAGTAAGCAATTTCGGAATATGCACAGATTGCACGGGCAATACGGGCATTTGCTGCAGCATTGGTTAGCAGAGGAAAAGCACAAAGGGGGTGTGGTGTCGACGATGATCGCATCAGTTGTAAATGTGGTGGCCGCGGCATGCCGCGGCGGCGGCGGTGCTGCGGGTGCTGCGGGTGCTGGAGGTGGTGGCGGTGGCGGTGGCGGTGGCGGTGGCGGTGGCGGTGGCGGTGGCGGTGGCGGTGGCGGTGGCGGTGGCGGTGGCGGTGGCGGTGGCGGTGGCGGTGGCGGTGGCGGTGGTGGCGGGGGGG